GCCCCGGCTCGGAGCGGGGGCTGCGCGTGCGCAGACCGAGCGCGCTGAGGGAAGGGGGAGGTGGCCGGCCGCTTCTCCCGCGTCCGCCATTTTGTTGCTGTGGCTCTTGGGAACGGTCGCGGCCAAAGCGGCCCGGAGGCGCGACGCTCCTCGGATTCTGGTCCTTCGCACGGCGGCGGGGGTCAGTGCGCGACTTTAGGGGTGCAGTGCCGGGCTGTTCCAGGCTGGGAGTCGCTGGAGCCACGCCCGGTCCGCCAGCCTGCCAGAGACCCCCGGGGCGGCCTCCGTCGGGTATCGTCTTTGCGTGCTCCGCATTCCCCGGACCGGCTCCCTCCGTGAGGCAGGCGGCGGCGGAGGATGCTGCGGGCCCGGTGCCGCGGGGAAGGTGCTGGGTCAGCCCAGTGAGCGCCCCTCGAGCTGTGGCCGGAGGCCCTCCCGGGGCCCCTCAGCCATCTGCAGGGCAAAGGCTTCCAGAACCGCCGCCCCGACCCGCCACCGAGCGCCCAGCCCGACACCATGTCCTCCGCCCGATTCGACTCTTCGGATCGCTCAGCCTGGTACATGGGGCCGGTGTCTCGCCAGGAGGCGCAGACCCGGCTGCAAGGCCAGCGCCACGGCATGTTCCTCGTCCGCGACTCGTCCACCTGCCCGGGGGACTACGTGCTGTCCGTGTCCGAGAACTCGCGCGTCTCCCACTACATCATCAACTCCCTGCCCAACCGCCGCTTTAAGATCGGGGACCAGGAGTTCGACCACCTGCCGGCCCTGCTGGAGTTCTACAAGATCCACTACCTGGACACCACCACCCTCATCGAGCCCGCGTCCAGGTACGGACCCGGGAGGGGGCGGCGACGCGGTGGGCTGGGGAGGGGCGGGGCGCCGCGTCCGGAACCAGGTTCGCTTCCCGAACGTGTTCTAAAAGGAAGGGTAGGCTCCGTCAGGGGTCCTGCTGGGTCACTGTGGGTGAGAGCCAGTGCCTAGTGTAAAAGGTTTGCTTTGTGCCTTTTTGTCACTTGCGCTCCGTGGCATTCACGCGAACGCAGGGTGCTTGTTTGTGTGTGTGGGTTTTTGTTCTCTCTCTTTTTTTTTTGGACCCCCGATGGCTTTGAGACTCTGCCCGTAGCCGTAACATTGGATTTGGGGGGGGCACCCCGCCGATCTCACCATCCCAGGTTCCGAACTCTCGGATCTCAGTCTGTGCGACTAAGTAGTTGACAAGTGACGAGCAGCCTTAGCGATGATCGGTCTCCGATCTTCTCATGGAAATAGTCGGCACCGGCTTTAGTTTGACGGGAACCGGGCTGCATCTAGTTAATAAACCCCAAACCAAACCCGCTGCC